ATTCATAGAATGTCCTCTGGGCGCCCCGCGTGGCTTTCCCAAAGGCCACAGGGCCCAAGAGGCACCCAAGACGGCCCAATTGGTCTCCAGGTCGGCCCTAGAGCGCCCCGAGACGCCCAAGACGCACTTCTGCCACCAGCCGGCCTTCATGGCCCAGAAACAGCAGCATGGCCCCATGATGACATCGACAAAACGCAAGCATTGACCTTCCTTATGCTTCTGTACCAGATTATCTGATCGGCTGCGTTTGTCGGTCATGCGCACTTTTTCGATGCACGGGCGAGCCCCTCCGCATCCAGAATCGGTGTTTATAGCCCGCGGTTTCCCATGGAATCTCCCGTACGGACTCCCGTGTGGTTTCCCGAATGATTTGCCGTATGGTCTCTCGCATGGTCTCACCAGATGTGTTCCGCATGTCCTCCACATGAACAGTATAGAGTACCGATACACCGTGTCTTCAGCACGTAGTCGAGTACCCAAAGCTCCCAAAAGCACGATAAAAGCTATGGGAAATCCCCAGACGCCCAGATAACGAAATTCCCAAGGAATTCTCGGACGTTCGCGGGCGCTGCTGAGGCTTTCGCGTGGGCCGTCGGGGCGGTGGCCCTGACCAAATAAACCCAAAGAGCCCTCGAGGTTTCCCGGGAAGCGCCAGAGGGTCCAGGAACACCATGCAACGACCCCAAGATTTCCCATGATGCCCTCCAGGCAACCCAAAAAGCTCCGAGCAAGCTCCGAGAAGGCCCCGAGAGGCCCCCCAAGAGGCCCCAGAAGTCAAAATGATTCCCCCGCTCGTGTTTGATGGATTGTATCGTTGTCGTCTGTTCGGGCTTCCGACGCTTCAATACGGCCAACGCAAAGGTTTTTGCTGTAGGGTTCAGCTGCGTAATGCGATGTGCGTTCTGCGCTTTTTTGTGCGCATGTCCACACCCACCTGCGCCCCTGTGCGGAGCAGCGTTGAACCCGCCGCCTCCACGCACATGCCCCCACATGCGATGCATCTCCATGGTCCAGGCCCACGAGGTCGCTGGTCAGGAAAGCGACGCCATGCCCGCATGTGGCCGCGCATGAGATATTTCCACAGAACCAAAAGATGCAGGAACGCTCCCCAGGCAACCTGGACAACCCCCGAGATAAATAACACGAGCGATAAGGCAAGTCAATGGCGGGCCAATGGGGGCCAGCGGCCGCCGCCCGAGAATACCAGTTCCGTACATGCCATGCACATGCCTCGCAGATGCTGGTACAGTATTTGCACAACTCGCGGAGCCCGGCCGTGCATTCTTGAATGGAGGAGGAGGGGCAGGAGCTTGGGAGGAACGGAAAAAGCTGGGAGGGGTGAACAAAAATGTAGTAGGATCTCCACCAGGCGGCTGACAACGCCTACGAGCAAGCCTCCTCGAACTCCGCGTCAACCTCCTCCTCCTCCATGTCTTTTTCCGCTTGCTCCTTCCCCCCTTCCTCATCATTTTCGTCGCCGTCGTCCTCCTCCTCATCTTCCTCTTCCTCTCCTCCTCCTCATCCTCCTCCTCCTCCTCCTCCTCCTCCTCCATCTTCCTCCTCCTCTTCCGTCTTCTCCTCCTCCTCCTCCTCCTCCTCCTCCTCCTCCTCCTCCTCCTCCTCCTCCTCCCTCCTCCTCCTCTCCTGACGAGCTAACGAATTGAAGGCGCAAGAGTCCGTCGGACCCCGCCCTCCCCCCTCCTCCTGTCCTCCTCCTCCTCATCCTTCTCCTCCTCCTCCTCCTCCTCTCCTCCTCCTCCTCGTCCTCCGCCCTCCTCTTGCTTCTTCTCCTCCTCCTTTCCATAATCTTCCTCCTCCTCCTCCTCCTCCTCCTCGTCTCCTTCTCCTCCTCCTCCTCCTCCTCCTCCTCCTCCTCCTCCTCCCATCCTCCCCTCCCCCTCCCACTTGGAGCGCTTTGCAAGCATATGCGGCCGCACGTGGCCGTGCACGCTCTCGCGGCCAAGAGCGGCGCCATGTGCGGGCATGTGCGGTCGTCCGCTCCGGGATGCGCGGCCATGTGCGGAGGTGCGGGGCGGAGGCGGGAGGGCATGCGCGGCCTGCTGTGCGGAACTGCGCGGGCATGTGCGGCAGCGTGTGGCCCTGTGTAGCCGCGCGGCCACGAACGGTGCCGTGTGCGGGCATGTGCGGCGCCATGTGCAGGCATCCCCAGCAGCGCGGGGGCAAGCAGCTGCGGTGTGGGCACCTCCTGTACCGCCGAACCAGAACAATGCTTCGACAAAAAAACACAAAGAGCATGCCCCCGCACGTGGCCGCACACGTGCACACGCCACTGGATCGTAACGCTCTGATGTGCGGGGCACACGCCGCGCACATACCCGGACGACGAGCGCACATGCCAAGCCAAAACCGCTTGCACGTGCCCCCAAGTGGCACTAAGATCGCGAGCCCTGTGCAAAAGGCCGCCAATATCGCCCCACGACAATCCAAGAAGCCCTTGGGAGGGCCCCCAAGACGGCCCAAGACGGCCCAAGAGGCCACCCGAGCGGCCCAAGAGGGCCCCAAGAGGGGGAGCTCGAACTGACAGTTCGCGCTCTCCGCCCGAAGATGACCGCGGAAACCGCCCCAGGAAGCTCCCTAGAGGCATAGATCATGCTCCAGGGAGCCCCCCAAGAGGCCTCAAGTGGGTGCCGGAAAGCCCGCAAGAGGCCCTCGAGGCCCTAAGACCCCCCCAAAGCCGCCGCCAAGAGGCTTTCGAGAGGCTTCCCAATAGTAAATCCCTGCAAGCATCTGAGAGGCCTCTGACCTACAAGCTAGGCACGGTGGCGGGTGATTTCCAAAGAGGCCCCCGAGATCGCTCCAAGACGGCGCAAGAGGCCCCCACGAGGGCGTCAAGACGGACCCAAAACGGCCAAGGACGCGCCCGAGAGGACCCAAGAGGGCCGCAAGAGAGGGAACCCGAACTGACAGCTCGAGCCTATCACCGCTCGGATGCCCCAGAGGTCCTCCCAAATGCCTCGCAAATGCCCCGCGAGGCTTCCCGAGACACCTCAAGCGGTCCCCCAGGGGCTTCTCCTCCACGACCCCGGGACGGTGGCAGGATGTGCCAAAAATGAATTAGTAAGTACGTACACGAGTAAGTACGTAAATAAATAAGTAAGTAGGTAAGTAAGCAAGCAAACAAATAAGAAACAAATACGTGAAACATGAATGTAGCAACAGGCCAAACATTAATGAAACTGCATATTGAGGAAGGAAAGGGAACACCCTGGGGTGTGCGGGCAACTGCAGCCGGCGACGCTTGCCGAGGAGGCGGGATGGGCCAAAAGCCACCAGAGCTTCCGCCCCAGTATGCTCGCAGAGTGGTGCACTGCGTGCTGAGTGTTAGCTGGCCCTGTGCGCCGTTCCAAGAAGCTCCCAGCGGCCTCCAGCACCACACGCCGGCCGCCAGGAAGGACCAGAAACGGCGATTCTCAAAGGCAGAGGGCGGCGGTGGTTCGCCGTAGGTGCCTTCGATACTTGTAAGAAGGGTTGTCCAAGATGTCCCACCCCGCTGGGGTGCGATCCTTAGAGGAGAAGTTCCGCTGGATTGGCGCTTCGCTCTTCGACTCGTCGTCGACAGTATCGAAGCCGCTCACGATGTTCAGGAACTCGTTCAGCTCGGGGTGCTCCTCTGGATGCAGAGTGGCCTCGAAAAGCGGTATGAAGATGTTGTCAAGTATGTCCTGGAAACAGCCTATCTGCTTATGCTCCTTATCCGCCACCGCGCCGCCAGCACGATCGACTGCGATAGAAGAAAGAACCGACGACCTTTCCAACAAACTTGCCCACTCAACCCTCCCACCAACCCTGGCCTACCACCTTCCAACAAATCCTGGCCAACCCGTCCGTCCAATCCTGGCGAGGGTAATCCTTAACCGGAAAAAAACAGCAGTCGCTGTGTAGCGGTATGTGCATCGTAAGTCAGGGACCCCAGTCGCTCAGCTTGTTGGTAATCGGGACAGGCATTAGAGCGAATGCATGTTCATGTGGTTCCTCTCTCTGTGATTCTCTCTCGCTTGTACAAGACACACATAGATCGGAGGTTCGGGGGTGAGTCCGACGTGAAACGGAGACCCCCCTTACTGGGAAATCGATGTCGGTTTCGGGTTTCGGGTTCGTGTCATGCGTGCCGTGAGGGCGTGCGGGCGAGGCAAAGCTGCGTGGGCGGGCGGGAGGAAATCCTCGAGGTGGCTGGGCCGCGGCCGCACCAAATGTAACTCCTCCGGCGGCTGGTGCCCCGCGGTGTCCCGCTGGTGTCCGGTGGGTGTCCCGAAATCCTTCTGTGGCTGGGCCGCGTCCGGACCAAATGTTTCTCCACCGGCGGCTGGTGCCCCGCGGTGTCCCGCCGGTGTCCCGCGGGTGTCCCCAAATCCTCCCGTGGCTGGGCCGCGGCCGGACCAAATGTTTCTCCTCCGGCGGCAGGTGCCACGCGGTGTCCCGCTGGTGTCCCGCTGGTGTCCCGCTGGTGTCCCGTGGTGTCCCGTGGTGTCCCGCGGTGTCCCGTTGAGAGAGATCGATCGTGAGATCGATACTGAGATCGATACTGAGATCGATACCTATGGTGACCCGTGGTGTCCCGTGGTGTCCCGTGGTGCCCCGTTGAGTGAGATCGATAGTCAGATGGATGGTGAGATCGACAGGTGTCCCGTGGTGTCCCGTGGTGTCCCATAGAGTGAGATCGATAGTGAGAACGATACTGAGATGATGTGGTGCCCCGAGGTGTCCCGTGGTGTCCCGCTGAGTGAGATCGATATTTAGTGAGATCGACAGGTGTCCCGAGGTGGCCCGTGGAGTCCCGTTGAGTGGGATCGATAGTGAGATCGGTCGTGATATCGATAGTGAGATCGACAGGTGTCCCGCCGGTGTCCCGTGGTGTCCTATGGTGTCCCGCTGCGTGAGATCGATGGTGAGATCGATAGTGAGACCGATAATGAGATCGAGAGGTGTCCCGCGGTGTCCCGTGGTGGCCCGTGGATAGTGAGATCGATAGTGAGATCGACAGGTGTCCCGTAGTGTCCCGTGGTGTCCCGCCGAGTGAGATCGATACTTATATCGATACTGAGATCAATGTGGTGCCCCGAGGTCACCCGTGGTGTCCCGCTGAGTGAGATCGATAGTGAGATCGATAGTGAGATCGACTGGTGTCCCGAGGTGTCCCGTGGTGTCCCGTTGAGTGAGATCGATAGTCCGATAGTGAGATCGATGTGGTGTCCCGAGGTGTCCCGTGGTGTCGTATGGTGTCCCGCTGAGTGAGATCGATAGTGAGATCGATAGTGAGACCGATGACGAGATCGAGAAGTGTCCCTCGGTGTCCCGTGGTGTCCCGTGGTGGCCCGTGGAGTTCCGTTGAGTGAGATCGATCGTGAGATCGACAAGTGTCCCTCGGTGTCTCGTGGTGTCCCGTGGTGTCCCGTTGAGTGAGATCGATAGTGAGATCGATTGAGTCAGATGTTGGTTTCCCCCCCCTCTCCCCCCCCCACAACCTCCTCATCACCCGAAGGGTGGTCGTATGTGTCTATATATACACATGTTAGAACCACGCACGCTCCGCGCGCCTAGGCTCCGTCGTAACAATTCTGGTCACGCACGCCATCCCACCACGACCACCACATTGGAACACCTGCGCAGACGTGGGCAAACATAACTCAGTAGCGCCCCCTGGCTCATCTCGGAACACACAGCACAGTAACCGTGCCCCATGTGTATGGAGCTCCTACTCCGGCCCCAGAGACAAGAGGCGTACAGCGGCACACTCCTCGTGCGGATCGGATCGTGCCCAGCAGGTAACTGCACTTACGGCGCCACGGGGAAGCTTCGCGTAGCGTCGCCCCGCTCACTTCGGGATTCCTCTCAGACGGGTCGTGCCCCGCAGGCCGCCCCCCCCGCCTGCTTCGGCAGATCTCTCACACGGATCGTGCCCAGCAGGGAGCTCCACCGCCGGCCCGAATTGCAGGATTCGCACAGCGCCCCTCCCGCTCGTTGCGGCACACCCCTTGCGGGGACCGTGCCCCACAGGAGGAGGAGGAGGAGGAGGAGGAGGAGGAGGAGGAGGAGGAGGAGGAGGAGGACGGAGGAGGAGGAGGAGGAGGAGGAGGGAAGAGGAGGAGGAGGGAGGAGGAGGAGGCGGAGGAGGAGGAGGAGGAGCAGGAGGCAGGGAGCACCACCTGCAGCCCCAGAGACACGGTTCGCGCATCGTCCCCCAGCCAGTTCGGCACCCTCCTCACGCGGATCGTGCCCCGGATGGAGCTCCACTCGTGGCACCTCATCCGGCGACTCCGCACGGCGGCCCTGCACACCCCCGTCGGCACGCGAGCCGTGCCCCACAGCGCCTCGCGTGCGGCCTCAGTAGGGGGCGTGCTCGCGCGGGGGCTCTCGGTTGGCGCATGCAGGAGTGACCCTGGGTAAGAGTAACCTTTGGTGCGCGGCTTCGGGGGCCGTTGCTGGACCAAGCACAACCGCGCAAGACGCTGCTACTGCATCGCGTTCGGCGATCTGGGGACCAATGTATGCCCGCACCAAAGGTCACTCCGGCGAAGGGTCACTCTTACGTCTAGTCGACTCGGACGCTTCGGCACCCCCCTCGCGCAGATCGTGCCCCACACGGAGCTCCGAACGTGACCGCAGGGCCGCGCCCTGCGCCGCGCGCGGCTGCATTGGGTCGGGCCTTCCGCCAGCCAATGCTTCGCTGGTCTGCTGGCGTCCGGCCCAGCCTGCCGCCGTGCCTGGGCTGTGGGCCAGCATCTTCTTGGATACATGGTTGGGTCTCTTGGCATGACTCTCGGGCACTTCTATCGGCTACACGTAAGAGTGACCCTGGGTAAGAGTGACCTTCGGTGCACGGCTTTGGGGGGGCCGCGGGGAGGCCAAATCCAGGCGCGCTAGCCGCTGCTACCGCTTCGCGTTCAGCCATCTGGGGGCCCATCTGTGCCCGCACCACAGGTCACTCCGGCGAAGGGTCACTGTTACGTCTAGTCGATTCTAGGAGCCAGTGCTGAAGCCTCTTGGGGGCCGGCCGTTTGGGGGCTTCTTGGGGCCTTGCTTCAAGCTTTTAAGGACCTCTTGGGGGCCTGCTGGCGGTCTCGGAGGGCTCGAAATCTCAGTTGGAGTTTCCCCTCTTGGGCCGTCTTGGGCCCATCTTGGACCGACTTGGGGCTGCGTTGGGCCGACTTGGTGCCCTTTGGGGGGCCTCTTTGGGGCCTCTTGGGCAGTCTCGGGGCGATGTGGGGCCGTCTTGGACGCTGTTAAGACACCAAAGACGACTATGCAAGAATGCGTGTTCGCCTTGAGAAATGGGGCGACTTTGGCGTACTCGGGCCCTCTTGGTGAGTATATTGGAGCATTCTTGGGCCTGCTTCTGGTTCTCCCAGGCAGTTTTGGAAATCTTCGGGCCACGCTTGGGCCCCGTTGCTCCGCTCTGGTCGCGTATTCGCGCCCCCCGAAGCCGTCGGGCGAGGGGGAAGGCCCAGAGTCCCGGATGGTGGGGGGGTGCTCAACAGGGGG